AACTTCAGATCCATAACAATGCAAGCTAGTAGTCTAATAGCAGGGACAGTTAGCTACAAAGCGAGCAGTGAGTGAGTGAGCGTTCAGACACCGGCGCACACACTCAATCGGACTCGTGTGCCTGACTCTACCAACAGGCTTTCATGATTCTGTTTAGATATGCAAGTATAGAGTGGCGAAGTCACGCCCACTTACTTCCGGGTAATGGGACCTTATTTCGGAAAAATTATGCATTGAAGTCAATGGGGAGAGAAAACTTATCTTTCGATCCCGTTTGAATTGTGCCATGAATTACACATATGATGTTTGTCAATCTTAAAAAATCATTTCCATGTAAAAAAAGTCACAGTTTGTCGTAAAACTGTTGAAATATAAGACTATGAAAAATACGTAACTAGAAAGACTACAAATCCCAGAGTCGCGTAAGTGATGTCACAATTGAGACACTACGATATACGTATAATACCGTATATATACGATCAGCGCCATATAGATAGAATCTATCTATATGGCGCTGGCTAAGATAAGATAAGGTTCACAAGATGCCTGTGTGCTTAGTACCAGGTTGTTATTATACCAGCAATGGGTCTTGCTCGTTCTTTTGCTTCCCGTCTGATGAAAGAGGAGTGTGTGGATCAAGCTAGCTAGTAGCTAGCACGTTAGTTAGCATTACAGCCTTGTCATTTTTATTAGCCTTAACATGAAGTAACATTAAGTAACCCACAATGTTAAACAGTAAGAGTAGTAGTCATATTTCGTGAACCCTTTGAAGAGTACTGTCACCGGTGTGATCATTCTATAATACACAATTTAAGCCCGGGGGAGAAATGCTAACGCTAACGCTAGCGATCTTCTCTACTTCATGCTATCTGCACAAATGGTTGACATTAAACATTAAAACGACCAGGCAGTTCAGAGAGAATCAAAGGAAGGCAGGCAGGCAGCTTTGCATGACATTCTTCAGGACGTGTTTCATTGTGGTGATAGTGAGTAGTCAATAGTGACGGCCATCTTGGTGACGTGTGTTGTTGTGCGAGACCAGAGATGTAGTTCATTGAGCGTTTCACACAAACAAATGTGTTACTTCACAGTTTTACGACACATTGTTTTTTTTTTGACTTGCAAAATTATCTTTTAAATTGACAAACATCATATGTGTAATTCATAGCACAATTCAAACGGGATCGAAAGATAAGTTTTCTCTCCCCATTGACTTCAATGCATAATTTTTCCGAAATAAGGTCCCATGGACCGGAAGTAGATGGGCGTGACTTCGCCACTCGGGAGAAGGGGGTAAGTTGAGCCAGTGGGTAAGTTGAACCACCCCCTGTAACCAGGCAACGCCTTATAGTTGTAATCACGTGACCAGAAATTATGCAAGCTCCTCCCATTTATCATTGCTTGTGAAAGAGAGATGCTCATTGTGGTCTGGTAAGTAAACATTTTTACAAAAATACTTTGTAAATGTTCTAGATGTCAGCTATATCGGCTGTCATGTCAAAAAAAATGTATCCAGGTTTAAACACATATATTGTATATGTTGATGTGTTGGCAGCGTATTAAACCATGAGAGTGATTAAGCTAAAGATGACTCTGAATTTGAATGCTAGGCTATTTTTTCTGAAATGGTGGCTATGGGGTAAAGTGAACCATGGGCCTTGGGGTAAGTTGAACCAGTTTTTCAATGGAGAAATGAATGAAAGTAGGCCAAGTTGATAAGAGCTCATTGTAGGCTACATTTAAAGTTGAATTTACCCTGTGTTTGATTGGTAAGATGTATGAAATTGTATCACCCCCTATTACCCCTAACCCGGGGCAAGTTGAGCCACAAGACCACTTTTTCTTTTAGAAGTAATATTTTCACTGCCCTTGATCAAATATTAATTCTTATCATTGCCATTGATAGGAGACATCCTGAATTATAGGTGTGTGCTTTCATTTTTACTATGTGTAATTTCTCCTTGCTTAGAGGACAGCATAACTAAAAAATGGCTCAACTTACCCCACTCTCCCCTAAGCCATGATAGCTTATTTTATTAACACGCTAATTTGATATGAAAATCAATGGAGGCGGAATTAACTTTGTAGGAAAACCTACCGTCCATGATGCCCCTGAGCTGTGTTTTATTTACTAAAATATAGTACTTCATATTTTTCATTTCCTAAAACATTTATTTTCCTCTCATATTAACAGTATGGATCATTGAGACAGCGTGGTGTCCAGAGGTCTTATCCCGTTTTCCCACTTCCTCTGAGGGGACAGCACGGAGGGGGGGCATGAAGAGAGACCTGCACCATCTTCATCCACGCTGGGCGTTGCTCTTATCACTGGCTCAGTGTCATTTCATTTGACCAAATGTCTTTACATATACATTTAATAGATGTTATTATTATCCACCTTTTTGTTTTATGTCCTTTTATTTAAAACATTCTTTGAGACTTAATCTTCTGGTTCAAATTTCAATAAATTAAAAATGTAATAAAGCAAATCTGCCACTTTTATATTGTAGAATTTGTTCAATTAAAGCAGTCTTTAATTGTTTGTCCTAAACATAGCAATATATGCTTTTGAAATGTAACATGTCTTTGAAAAAAATATAGTATACAGTTTATATTGTGTATCACCTTTAGCTTGAAAATACATAGTGTTTTTTTAATCTATAAAATAAATAGACAGACACTTTATCAATCTCAAATTGGGAAATTATTTAACAGCAGCAGTGTGTTCAGGTATTAAAATATTTCAAGTTGGAATAAAGTATAAACTACACAACACAAGTCTAATGCACAGCAATCCATAAGATAAGTCCGATATTTTCAGGAAAACTCCCCAGGAGGCACCAACAAAAACGTGGCACTGTATGATCTGTGGTGTAGTGGGCTGTCACTCAAAAACTGAGTAGCCAATGGGGACACACCCCTGAAAGTCCCGCCCACCTGGGATGTTTGTGTCAAAATCGAAAACAAAAAATGAGGGAGCACAAACGAGAAAGCTGCAGCGAGAGCAAAAGTCTGATCATTGAGAAAGAAGAAACAAGAACTGCAAACAAAAACCTATGTTAAAACAAAGAAAAAATACTTATAGTGCATAGAGGATACACATGTGCAGCCTCGAAATTTCCCGCATCGAAGGACGCCGGCCTCGGTAGAATTCCAAAGATCCTGGACATTGGAACAGTCCTTCGGCGGGACTCGATGACGTAGCATCCTTGAAATAGTGGCTCTGGAGGAGCCTTCCTCGACATTGAGAAACACCGTCTCTTTCAAGGAATCTTTCTAGGGACGGAGGTTTGTAGAAGGAACTCACAATAGGAAAACATTCACCATTTGTTCTACCAACCCTCCTGTTATCCTTGGGGTCAATTTGACCCCATTCAATGTTTAACGTATCTAAAAAAATGGTTCACATTATTTTTTTTGCTTAGAATTTCATGACTTTTCCTAATTTAGTGAGGACTAATGGCTAAATATAAAATGAACATAAATATTTTTTTTAAATGTCCTGTACGCACTTTGCACGCATCGGTATTCCTTGGGGTCAATTTGACCCCAGGTTGTTTTAGTAGTATAAAACATATAAAAATGTCAACATTTTACACGTGTTGATTGTGTAGGATGATATTGAGGTGACTATTGCATGCAAATGTATCATTGTAAAAAAAAAACTACCCTCTGCTTTAGTTATTGGTCCTTTAACAACATCAAAAAGATCTTTAACATTTTATTTCATCAGTGAGATTTTATGGTGATTTATATATTTTTCGATAGTCACATTCTGGATGTATAAAGGGGTCTGTGGGGGGGAAGGTTGGGGTAATGTTTTATTTAAATGGTTATTTAGGTAGTCAACTAAGATACCTAAAGCACCAGAGACATACATTTTGGTTAAAATTGGAATATGATCATTGTCTTGAGTTTTAAACTACTGGGGTCAAATTGACCCCAGAGGATAAAGGGTGTAAAGTAAATCTGGGGATAACAGGAGGCTTAAACTTTTCACTTTAAATATTTCAACGTTTCCCTCAGGAGAGGTTTGTGTTGGCCGTGAACCAGACATGACTCACAGATCTGCTTCTAACAAAGGGAAGGAGGGAAGCTGCTAGACAACTGTTTAAATAAGGAAGGCACTATTACAGTGTGTCTTCAGTCAGACTGTCTGTGTTCTGATTTAGATTAGTCAGAGGTCTTTAGCATGTCCCTCCCTTCAGTAAAAAAAACAGCCGCTTTGGTTGAAGCATCCGGAATTAAATCCAAATATTACCAAACGAAAAGTTTCTTGTCTTCTCTCACTCCAGATTTCTACTTTGGGAGATGTTTAAAGCAAACAATTGATATCCATTTCTGGAGAGAAAAAAAAATACAACAAAGCAGAGTTTTTCTAACCCTTCAAGGAGAGTGTTTATCTGAATATGAGGGTATCTGCATGTATTCTGCTGAAACCAAATGAGAATAAAAGTTAGCATCTTGCTACATTTGAATACTGCTGATTTGAAAACAGAGATTATCCAGGAGAACTCGGCAGCCTTCCTGTTTTTCTCGGGAAAACCCAAAGCTTAATAAAACTGAGTGAATCCATGGACAGTGATTTAAAGCATTTTCTGTTCCTTCCAGACACACTTCCTGCATGCTGTGCATCTTAGAACCAGTGAACCTCAGCAGAAGTTAAAATACATTATAGTGGTAATAAACAGAGCGGGGCTGATTCGGAACTGATAAAACCTTTATTTCACTTTAAATTGTCTTTTACATTTTGTCCTGTTTATAACATGTAAGGTGAAACTAGAGCTGTTTTTTTTTTAAAAGACATACACAAAACTAGTATTACTTCTATAACCGGGGTGGGGGGGAGGTGTTGAAGGGATTTTTTTTGTGTCATTTTTTTCTTTTGGAGGGTGTCCTTAAGCTAAGTCTAAATGTTCACAACCACGTGCGCGCTAAGCAATAAAACCGTCACAGAAGCAAACTTTTTTTTGTTGTTTTTTTGGGTTATTTTTTTTTTCCTTTTTATTTTAAGCATAATACTGGTCAGTAAAAACAAAATGATTTGAGATACCAGATATACAGACAGGCTCGGTGCCACATTCACTACTGCATGGGATCATTTCTTCCTTAGAAAGCGTAGAATAACTGCCTTTTTGTTCAGCTAACGAGTAAAAGAGCGGCAGGGAGGAATTCTTTTTTAACCTTTTAAACTTCAGTGCATGAAAACATGTCCCCAGCAAAGGAAAATAAAACATTGAGACACATGACTTTTCTACACCTAAAGAGTGGAATGTCGAGATGTTAGTGACAAGGTTATTGTGACACTGAGTGGAGAAAATATAGATTTAAAGAAGAGGGGCTTTTGCTTTTCCAAAATCCGATGTTTCTCAAAGTTCCAATCGCTTTTGAACACGTACAGTATCTCGCCTTTTAAACAAGAGAAACTTTAACAGTTAAATCGACACAATTGTATAAGATCAGATCCAGAATATGTACCGTCAACTGCCGATTGAGCACTTTTCGGAGAGTTTAATCTAAAAAAGGCAACATGGACACATACGCAAGTTTATGACCTCCAGCCTGAAGAGTTTAACCAATCCGACGACAGGCTCTCTCCACTCACAGATGATTGACTGATCGGCTGCTGGGACATGTGGCTCCTTAACAAACATACCTGTGTGAACTCAAACTGCGGCGAGGGAAACCCCCGCTTCCTCATTTTAGTTTTTTAAAGAATCACATTGTTGGATTTGGTTACACCTTTGTCTCTTATTAATCCAACGTCCAGCTCTGAGATTACATTTGGTTTGCCTGTTTATTCAAGCTCAAGAAGGAGTTTTAATAATACAAATGTATGGTATTTATTTTAGCGCTTTTCCAAATTCTTAAAGTGCTTTACATTACATATATTAGACATGTAATACTGGGGGAATACCCACAGGAGCAACACGGCCGCATGCTGACTGCAACGGTCGAGGCGGGATTGAATTGGTGCTTCCCTGGTCTGATGATCGGCACACTCAACCACCGCGCCACAGCCCCCATTAACGCTAGACTAAATTCATGTTTTTAGGCAGTTAGCTGATACTCTAATCTTGATCCCTTTAGAGGAACAATCGCTAACTGCTGCTCATATTTAGGATTCTTAACTGCGCTGAGGGAAAACGCTGTTGCCTCATTGATTTTTATCAGAGGAGTCGTTGCTCTTGATCGGGTTACAGCTTTCGTAGTTAGTAATCCAAGTAGCATTTAGCCATTCTGCTCCATATATCTGGATCAAATAACCCCAAAACTCACCTCTTTTAAGCAAGGCTGAATACTTTTATTTTTGCCGCTGCCTTTTCATAAATCCAACAACTATTCATATCTTGAATTGTAACTACATTTTTAATAACTTTCCTATATTGTTTGAGCTCGTTCAAAATAGAATTATCTTGCCATTTTAATGATAGTTTTATTTTATTTGTCAGGCAGTTAGCTGATGCTCTTATCTTGATCCCTTTAGAGGAACAATACCCAACTGTTATTTCTATTTTGGAAATGAGGAAGCAGGAAATTGTCGATCCACAGACTGTTACACCACACCCCCCCGATGGTTGCGGTACATTTACACGGTGATAAATGACAGCTTGCATCTCGTCGGCGGATCAGACCATTCAGCAGCGAGTGGGAACTGTGTCAGTGACGGATATAAGAAGAGTTTTGGGGTTGAAAAGGAGATATATAAGTACCAAATAAAGTAATGTGGTCAAAAGTGTCCAAAGCAAGCGGCAGCGGACTGAAGTGGCTTCACGTTAACGGACAACATCGACCAACCGCTCTCCAAAAGACAGATTTACAGTTACACTCGAAAAATGTTTTACAATTTTACAGTTCTCAAAAAATGGAAAAGAAGAGTTTGATTTGTTACACACAGGAAGAGGAAGAAAATAGGCAATCAAAAATGAACTTCAGGGATCCACGGGAGCAGGCTTCTCCAACATCCAGGGAATGTTTTTAATACGTTTTCAGATCAGTTTCCGAACAGAATATAAATGGGGTTAGAAAATAATAAAAAATGCTTTACACAGCAGGTTCTGTTTTAGATGCGTCAGTGTCACAATACAGCCTTGTAGGACCCTTCTGTATAAACCTCAGCAGAATGGCACTGCTGCTCAAACACACACCCCCCCCCCACACCCCACAGATGTTTTATCCCCAGGATCTGGTGGCAAAGTGGAGGAAAAACTAAGCATCACAGTGTTTGTTGAAAATAAACAGACAGTTTAATAATTTCTTTTGTTTTGTTTAAAGTGGAATAAAACCAGCCATATGCCGGTAACACTAAGAAAAGCCAAAAGAGAAGGGGGGAGGATGACTACATGAGAGCGTTAACTCACTATAGGAGGGGGAGGAAGAGGGGGTCACTAGAAGTGCGTTAACTCAATAGATTTAGGGGGAAGGGGGGCAGGGTACGACTATATATGTGCATTAACTCACTGGGGGGGGAGAAGAACGGAGGAGGAAGATTAAACGAGGGAGTGGAGGAGGTGGGAGTCTAAGAGATTCATTTATTTCATTGTTTTTGGATAAAAAAAACCTCTGTGCGTGCTATAAGGTTTACCTTGGAGTGATCGGGGGGGGGGGGGGATCGTTGGGAGATGGAGTACTTTCTCTTAGCCCACCACCCCTATTTTTTGGATTTAAATATATATCTGTCTGAAGGTCAGGTGCTATTCATGCTGTTGGTTATACAGAAGGAGGTCGGGAGGCCGGAGCTGAAAGAGGGGGGGAATGAACGGGCTGTATGTGTACGAAGAGAGGAAGAAGAGAAGAAAGAGGGAGAGAGATAAAAGGAGGAGGGAGAGAGTTGGGGGGGGGGGGGGGGGGGGGGGGGGGGGGGGGGGGGGGGTAACAGTGAAGTGCGCTCTAGTTCTCTCCATCCCCGGCGTCGGCGTCGTCTCCCTGGTTTTCTGATGTCCACAGCTGCAGGACAGAGACACATTTGAGCCAATCAGAAAACGCCACGTCATCATTTACTCAGACAATTAAGTTGTACTTTATCTTATTTTCATCAAGATAGGACTCTTTATATCCCATGAGAAGACCAAAACCAACTAACCTGCCATCAAGTAAGTAAGTAAGTGTGTGTGTGTCCATCATGTTATTCCTCTGTGCTGGAGACCTCAATTGTTGATCAAAAACATTTAAACCACATCACTGTTTCACCAGGTGACATGCTCCCTAATACCAATGAACACACACCCTGGGTGTTTCTCAATCGCGAGCATCTTGCTTCAGAAGCGAGTCAAGAATACTTCCTGACATTCAGAAAACGAAGAGTGGAACACGCTAGCAAGTGTGCAGGTGTGCGTCATATGAGACGCCCCGCCTTACATCTTCCGCCACAGGTTTTGGAAATTGGTCCGTGCGCATTGTGGGGATTTTAAGACCGCAGGGTCTACTCATGTGCAGCCTCGATATTTCTCCTAACGGAGTACGCCGGGCTCGGTAGATTTCCAAGTATGCTGGAGATTGGAACAGTACTTCGGCGGCACTCGATGACGTAGTATGCTTGAAATAGTGGCTCTGCAGACACTGCTCTAGCACTATTTGTGCTAGAGCAGTGTCTGCTTTAAACTCAAGTGTCCAGCTGTTTGAAGAATTACTGAGCCCTTTTTAGGATGTGACATATATATATATATATATATATATACTGTTTTACAATGTTCCTACTCAGTCCACTGATTCCCAATGAAGATGTTAATATTAATATATATATATATATATATATATCATCCTAAAAAGGGCTCAGTAATTCTTCAAACAGCTGGACACTTGAGTTTAACTAAAACTAAACACTACTAAAAACTAGAGCGTGTATGAAAGAGGGAAAATGTGGGTTGGTATTGTAGAAAAGAAAGGTTATGTATACTCTATATCTGGTTACCGTGTTATATATGTGGATGTCCACATACTGAAACAGTTACAGGCCACACTGGCTCTTTACACTATCACTACAGCAGAAGGTAAGAGGAATAAGCTTTAATGACAAATATGTACGAGTACTCCTCTCATTGTGTGTTTTGTGATTTGATACACTGCAGTATCTGATCTGTGTGCAGGAAACTGAATCCACCCACAGCTTGATTGAATATTATTTGTACACAACATCCCCTGTATTCTATACTTTAGGATGCAGCACTGTCTTCACTCAGTTCAACACATGTTGTGGGACTGTATTTTGTGTCAGAGTGTGTACTCACAGTGAGGTTGTCCCTTAGTAGCTGCATGATCAGCGTGCTGTCTTTGTACGAGTCCTCGTTCAAGGTGTCGAGCTCAGCGATCGCCTCGTCGAAGGCCTGCAGAGGAACAGAGGCGTTAGAAAAACATAATGCTCATTTCTTTATGTAGTCCATATGGCTGGTTTCATGCTAATGTACCTACAGGATTCTAGCCATTTGTTTCTTTATAGCTCGTCACACTTTTGTATTTTCTTTAGATCAAAGATGAAGCTAAATGTGACTTCAATCCTCTAAACAAATGTACACGGGTTCAATTAGAGTACTGAGACAACAGAAGATGAGCATCTATCCTGGGAAAAGGTGGCAGAGTGGACAGTATATCACTTCTTTTTCAGAAAAATATTAAAATTACATGATTAGGACTAACAATGTAATCCCTTTATAAAAAAAAAATATGTTTTTTTAAATACTAGCAATTCTTTGATTAAGTTGGATTTTTGTATTACCTTTGACCATTTAGTAAGGTAAAAAGCAACAAAAAAAACCGTTGCACTCACTTTTCCATTTATCGGTTTAAGACATCAAATTGAAACAAAGGCACACAGACTCTTATAACTGTTCACATTAGTTACATGTATTCCCCTTACACAGAAATAAGTCCTTAGAGTGAGCCCCGCCTGAGCATTTGAAGGAAACCCTTTTTAAATATTCTCTTTTTAGTGTGGGGCTTTTACAGTCTGACATGTTAGAAATGTCAGACTGCTTTTCTCAGCTGCTGGCGGAACATGGCTCCTCCTTTAAATGCTAGCTGTGCAGGAAGCCCCCCCCCCCCCCTTCAGTACCACAAACATGAAAGCCAGGGGTCTGAGGAGCACCCACCTGCTTGGCCAGAGCGCAGGCCTGCTCGGGCGAGTTGAGGATTTCGTAGTAGAACACGGAGAAGTTGAGGGCCAGGCCCAGCCGGATGGGGTGTGTGGGCTGCATGTCCTTCTTGCTGATGTCGAAGGCGTTCTGGTAGGCCTCCTGAGAGCTGTCCACCGTGTCTGCACAGAACAACACATCAGCTTCACTTTATCATCTCAAGTCATCACAACTGTCCCTACAAAACTCTTTTCTGCAGGAGCGGTAAGAAACTGTAACAGGTTTTATAGTCAAACTTGATATGAATGTAAACAATAGTAAAACAAATAAATAAAAGACGTCTTGGCCGATTTGGAAAATGTTGGAGTGTATTGGGGGTTATTCAGGATGCTGAATCCATTTCTGACCATTCCAGGATCAAAAATGGCAGTATTAACCAGAAAGTGGCCATATATATGTACTCTGTGGGCTGATTTGAAATACAATGACAATTGTTGCGACCATTGGATATAGAGAGCACAAGATGTCTCCTAAATCCACCCAAAACGTATGAAAATCAGCCCACCGAGAGTATAAATATCGGCATTTTCTTTAAAAGACCGATATACTACAGAAATAGACATATTATAGTAGCAGAAACATATATACATATAATCTATAGTGGTTTAAAAAAAAAAAAGGTATCCCAATACAGAGATGACATTATATACTGTGCAACTATAGGCATATGTGCACCATTAGAGATTCTGCAATACTGATTTGAGCAGACATGGAAAAGGACAGAGAAAGATTAAAATCAGTATAATCTGTCCAGTAATTTGTCAGCTTTTTGAAAATAAAATAGGAGAAAGACATACAGTAAAAGTATTTTATTTATTTTGTTAGGGTTTAAAATATAAAATAGTATAAATTAAATATTGCACTTCGTGAAGTCAGGCGAGTATTTATTTATATCTGAACCTGGAACAATTACAATTATTGTTCACCGGCACCATAAAGCTGCCATTTAGAATAAAAACTATTTATAAAAACAAAATAATCAAATGTGATAAGGAAGGGATGGTTATTTTAATCGGAATAACACTTTCTGCACCTCGATATACAGCGTAACCTTATATAAAATGAAAAGTCCTGTGATTTAAGATTACTTTAGGAACATGTTCCAAGTGAAGCATGAGGTTTGATAATAAAAAAAAGGTAATAAAAAGCCACTTTACGGCGAGCAATAAAACTAGTTACCTTGGTTTGTTTATTAAAAAAGGAAATATTTACTTTGAGCAACACAGCAACTGACTTTAGCCATAAAAAAGGACTCTGGTGAGAAATCGTCCTTTAACTGGTTTAAACGTTAACTGTAGCTCAAAGGAGTCTCCTAAATGATAAGTGCTTATCTGCTCGCTCCTATACAACATTGCTTATGTTGCTGACAAAACTAAAGTAATAGAACAATGAGAAAGGCTTTTTATTAGTGTCAAACACTCACTCTTCTTTGAGTCTCCAGAGGCCACCTCTGACAGGTATCTGAAGTAGTCTCCTTTCATTTTGAGGTAGAACACCTTGCTCTCCGCCATAGTTGCATTTGCAATGAGGAATTTTTCGAGCAGATCCTGAAACAGAAGAGAGGAGCAGAAGGGTTTATGAGCAGAAATATAAAGAACAGGGCAGCAGTCACACAGAGCAGCCTGCCAGTGTACCAGTCAATGGGCAACTGGATTAGACGGTGTTACTAATACATGTCAGGCCCTTCCTACAGGTTTAACCATACCCTGACACGTGCACTTTGCATCGGCCAATCGCCTCACAGAGAATGGGGGTCAGGTCAGACCCATGGATGTATAAAGAGAACAGAATACAAAGTTGGAGGCGGGACCCCGTTCATCCTTTGAGAGTCGCTTGGTGGCACATGAAGCCAAAATGGCCTGACTAGCAAAAATACCCTCAGATCATCCGTGGACTTTGGTCCCATGAGCATGTGACTTGTGTTGTCCTCAAGCCCCGCCTCCAATCGCTCTGGGAAATATCAGAAAATAACTCTGGATTCAGATCTTAGTTAATTTTACACCTTTTAGGACGTAATGATTTAAACCAGGGCTTTTAACCCTCTGAGACCCACATAGGACATTTCCGTTTTTGTATATTTTTATGTTTTGCCTTATAAATTGTCATTTCTTTACAGTATAATCAAGTTTTACACATCCCAGAAATCAGCACAACCTCAGCTAATGATATATGTCACTCATTAGAGACTTATATACAATATAATAGGGGATATTTGCCCATAAATAAAAAAATTGAGCTTGCATTTTTTACTTATTTCATTAAAAAGAACTGCGAACCATAACATTGAAAGAAACATTCAATACAGAAAATTGCACACATTTATTATCATTGTATCAGAACTGATTAGAAGATTCTAACTTATTCTGTTCATTAGTTATGCCCATTCTTTTGGGCAGTGTCCATGGGCGTTTTTTTTGCGAGGAATTGTCATTTTTTGTCCTGCGAATTTTGAAGACTACATTTTTTTTCATTTAATCGTTTATTTGGCAGGGACAATGCACAGTAATGAACACTTAAAACATTCAAATGTGTCAAGCGTAACAGTGCCAGATTTAGCTTTGAGCTAATTTCCATCTGCAGTCCCTCACATAAAACATTTAAGAAAATTACATTTTACAAACATAGCAAAAACAAAATACATGATATGCAAAAAGTGCAAAAGAGCACCGGCTGTTGTTATGCCTGCTGTGACGTCAAGTTACTCCGTTCTCCGCTTGTAAATATGCCGTTACAAGCTTCATAGTTGTATTTATCATCTAAATTTGCCGAAACAAGTTTAATATTCTGAAAGCCAAGACTTTGTTTATTTGAAATCAGATGAAAACAAACTGTAACGGACCCTGCCGTGTTATCTATGATTACTATACGCCTTACATTCATAATTTCAGGCGGAGAGAGGGGGGGCGGCGCTCCGGAAGAGCAGATTGCGAGTGAGAGGTGCAAAAATGTATTTATCATGTGATTTTGGAAATAAAAGTTTCATATTCTGAAAGCCAAGACTTTGGTTATTTAAAATCAAACAAAACACCCGAACCCCGAAAAACTAATTTTTTACGCAAATCCACGTTTATTTTGAAATGAGCCGTTGCGACTTCCGGTGAGACTATCCGCATCTTTTAAAACTTTACGCACATTCGTTTCACCAAAATAAGTAAACGCCTCTCAATGAAAAACTTAATAGAGTTGTTTATAGCCGTTTCTGTAGTTTAAGAGGAAACACACGGCATGTCTCTGACTGAAACAGCTGAGAAGTTATGACGCTTTGAACACAACGTGATATTTGGGATCGTATACGGCCCCGTGGGTCTCAGAGGGTTAACGCACTGGGTCCTTGGTTAACCTAAAAAATGTGATTCTATGCTAATTTACAGACGTCTCTTTCCCAATGCAAATCAATAGGAAAATTGTTTTTTTTTGGCCCCAATGATATCACGGAGTGACATGGAAGTTGTAGTACTGCTGTTTGGCCACTACGAACATTTGCATCAATGTCCCAGTTACTTCCTTGGGGCTTGGCTTCACCCAACAGAAACACACCTCTTTGCTAATGAGCTCCCCATTGATATCAGGACAGCAGGAAGTCTACACATCTTGCTTTGCAGACCCACCTCTCCCCACTGCATGTTGGCAAAAAAAAAATCTTTAAATAGTTTGGCTTATCATTTTTGTTTATTTATGCTTTCAAACACTAATTGTAAGACAATTTGTTAAAATTGCAGCTTAATGAAATGTATAAATAAATATTAGTATTTAATAGGCTGAAAACGGCTACTCTACAAATAATTTCTACCCCATTACAAAGCAGAACTCAAATATATTTGGGGAAGAAATCTCATTTTAGCTTTCGGTCCAATCATCTGGTAATATCAACCTTGATCAAGGTGACTGACATTTTTGTGCTGCTGATGAATCAGAGCTTTAAGGACAGCGTGTCTTCCCTCCCTTCATTCCTTCAGCACCACATCACTGCAGAGGCTTCCAGTTTGACCTTGAAGATATTATTAGAAGTTGGCACAGGCGCAAAAAAATGTGTCTGTTTTGACCTTGAGCAATTTCTGTGTGAGGGTTGCTGAGGAAGCTTCAATCTTTTTCAAAAGGCATAAACTGGTCAAAAACCACAGAGAAAACATGTTTTCTGCCAGCATCTTGAGCATAATGAACTATAAGCAGCGGAAGAAGACCTTTAACACGGCCTTACCTCGCATCTTTCAGATCCTTTTACAGTGTGTTAAGGCAACACTGACCATAAACACTGGGTAATTATTGTTTAGAGAAAATTCAGACAAATCATACTTTTGGTTATCATTAAATGTAGAGCTTTTAGTTTACAGAAAACTCTAGTGCTAAACTGGGTGCAGGTAGGAGGTAACTGAATTGTTTAAGATCATCTTTTATTTGGACAAATATAGAATATGGAAGGGAACAGGTCTGCCTTGAAGGAAAAGAGTTTTGTTCTAAATCTAAAAGAGGCCACCTGCTGGTGTAGGGATTAACGTTTTTGCAAACCCTTTTTTTGTTTCTGCAGAATTATAAATTGCTGGAGTGAGTCTTAAAACCTGTTTAAATAAGTCATCATTTGAGCATACAAGGCTTTGGATTTTTATTTCCATTAGATTCTCAAAATAATATCTGTTGCTTAAGAGATTTTTACATTTTGTTTAACGATATCAAAAGCATCAGTACATCCCCGACGGGTTAACATCCAGCCGCTAATCTAACAAATTACACGCCTTTCAGTGTTTCCCACAGATATGAAATGTACTTGTGGTGGTAGCCGGGCACGAGGTGGGTGGCTTTGTGACATGCAACATGTGACAAACGACAAATACGTGTGAACTTTAACAACATTAAAATGAACCTTTCTGTTGGTCGCTTGTTAGCAGACCGTTCACGCGATAGCAGAGCGAACAGGTACAGGAGGCGTAGAGCGAGGGATCATTGTCCACTAGTTAATCGATTGCAGATGGCGTCCTGCTCGCGGACGGATACAAAAATAAAGTCTATGTGTGGGAAACCCTGCCTTTAGTTTAGCGTTGGTGACTTGGAGTCATGCGTGCGTGATGTAGTTTGTTCATAGCCTCAAAAATCTAAAAGTGGAGAATATCCTGCTGAACAAAACATTTAAATATCATAAATATTTGTTGGCCAAAGACCTTATTTTCTGCAATATTGGTAAAATAAAAATTCCCTGTTATCTTTTTGTTAAAGATTACAGGGAGATGCTAACTTTAAACATATGTCATCCCTCGACAACTTTCCAACAGCTGTTTAGGCCTGAGCTCAGAAAGGCCAGACTCACAGGTTCATTTAAGAAAACGTCTTCAGTCTCATGACTTCTGGAACCTTCATATAAGCAGGCAGCCCACAGACACTCACGCCACTTGTGCTGCCTTTCCAGCTAAGCACTCTCCTCCCTCTGCACCAAGTAAAGGCAACAAATATACCCATGTGGGGTGGGAGGACAAGAAAAGAAGAGTGAGAGGGAAAGTAAAGCTTTGTTTGACAGACCTAACAGCTGCCAGTGCTGCTAGCAACGTTATTGCATTCCATGTGACTGTTCTCTCCTCAGCCAGGAGGATTCAGCTCTGGTGTTTTCTTCCGCCATTTTTATACCTTATATTCCACTTCATTTATTTTCCGTCCCCCTCGTTCCCTGCCTCCCCCATCCCTCTCCGTACCAGCACGTCGTTGCAGATTTCTTGGAGTTCAGTCTCGATCTTCATACGGTATTCGCGAGCCATCTGCTGTTTCTTATCGTTCCCGTCCGTCTTCTGCTCGATGCTGGAGATGACGCGCCAGGATGAGCGGCGGGCCCCCACCTGATGGCAACAACAACCAAAAGAACTTCACTAACGGACGACATCTGAGCTGCAAAGATACATATTCAGTAAGAGAGTAACCACCATAATAGGGCACAATTGCTATGTACTTGACAAATAAACAACACAGACATTATTTGAATTGCATTCAATATTTGAAAGAAATGTGGCTGTTTCCCTGTCATTGAAATGTATAAAGACTTAAATAAAAAATAATTAAAACATGTAAATTAAGATAATCTAATCTGACTCCATATACAAAGACTATCTTTCTCATTCTAGCATTAGTATGTGATCATGAGCATCATGTGAGAGGAGTGTGGCTCATGAACTAAACATACTAACAAAGGGACTTGCACCATGCTCATGGTTACAGCTAGGATGTACATGCAACAAGAAAAAGTACATAGTAGTCCTCAATGCTGGCAAACGGACGAAAAAGATCAAGTAAAGCTCAACGATAAAATGAGCAGCAGTGCTGGAAAACCTGAGGCTCCGGTTACGTAATATCTGCTTTAGAGTTTGAAAAAAAATAATCATGAAAAACAAAAAAGATAGAAGTGCAGCAAATGTCAGACTACACATTATTTAAAGAGAGGCTACATTTGAAGATATTAACTCCCTGTAAATGCTAAAAATACATCAGGGGAAGGAATATTTTTTGTAAGCTATAATAGAAATAGGCAAGTCCTGTAGAAAGACTTACTAAACAGTAAGACTTTGCTTAAAAAATTAAAAAATGGCATTTAATCAAGTGATGAGTCAAGATAAGCCACATCGTACAGTGGTTGCCCCAAACCACAGCAGAGTTTTGAGAATAAATCTGCCCTTTTTAAGACAGGACAGAGGCCATGACTTCAGACGCAGCTGTTTCTAGATGCTTTGGGTGTTAAATCAATCTCCTAAAATGCCTCATAGGTGATTATTATTACAATAGATCTTGGCGCAATAGAAAACAATTATACATGTGATGGAGCTAATATAAATGGATTAGTTCTAATTCTTTCAACAGGCTATGTGTGCAGCACAAAGTGTGCGTGGAGAGCGACCGAGTGAACTGCTGTATCACTTTGACCGCTGGCGGGTTTTCTGTCGGTCTTTTAGGCCACGAGCAGTCAATGGTCAATCTGATCTAATGACCAATCTCCTCTAAACCCTGTATACTGCTCTGCTCCTGATTTATGCATACCACTTATAACAGTTATCTACTTTAACCCTTTAACTGGATATGCATGTTGTTGGCTACAGGGAATCTGCATTTCTATTTCCATGGACTTAGTTTGCATTAATTTGTCTCTTAATATAAACACAATTTGTTTTATATTCAAACAGCTAGTTTGATGTTAACTCATTCAACCATGTGAAATTATTATTTTCCTAATAGAGGATATTCATATTTGTTATTCTTTAGCTTAGACTTAGGGAATAATTAACAGTTAAATAAGTTGATTTATGAAATAATTTCAGAAAATGTTATAAGCCCTGTGTAGCAAAACGTTTTTAGACAACCATTAGCTCTATATTGGGAATTAAACCAATCCATGAGCTGACTGTACAGTTATAGTCTGAGCATGGATATAGGGGTAAAGAAAAAATAATTAAGCGCCCTTAGAGGGATGCCATACCACGTTCTTGTAGGCGACAGACAGCAGGTTGCGCTCCTCGTTGCTGAGCTCTGGGACCTGCTCCGTCACCGCCTTCATGGCAGCCGCCATGTCGTCGTAGCGCTCGGCCTGCTCGGCCAGCTTGGCTTTCTGCACCAGGTCGTTCTTATCCATTTTTTAGGCTGCAGGGGGAAAGAGCAAAAGACAGAAAATAGATTTAGCTTTTGGATTTCAGGCGTTAAGGTTCTTATGTTACCAGCGGGAATATGCTAAATAAGGAAGAACGACCAATAGAGGCAATGAGCGAAATGCAAGAGAAAGACCTGGTGTGTAGTATCTGAGGGAACATCATACAGGTAGAACAAGGTGAAAAGGAGTAAAGATTAAGGTTAGGGACACCACAAGTGTGGAATATTGGGCTTGAAGCTGAAAATGGTATGAAGATGCTTAACCATGAGGCAAATACTTAGACAAAAGCTAATTACTCATCTACCACTGATACAATCCTAAGATCACTCACAGAATCGGTTACAAATAAAATGCTCCAGTGAAGGTCTAACTGCACTTGATAAAATGTCAAAAACCTTTTCAGTTCCAGCTCCCAGTTGTTTCATCCTCAAGGGCTTTGTGCTCGCCAGATGAATCTGATGGTCTAAGTAGGCCACAGCCTCGCCTCCATCTCCTTTTTATCTACGCATCTCACAATGAGTCCTCCACTATGGGCTTTTAGCCTCCTCATTTACATATCTAATTTATTGGAAGAACGTGTAAATCCCTTATTTCTACACTTACAACTGCTTGAGTACAAACTCAAACATGGCGAGGTTAACATGTTAATACACCCACAGCTGATTCAGGATTTACTCTCACATCTGGACACGTTCCAGTTTTTAGACGCTTTGCGTAGTAACCACCCCTCCACTAGTGAAATTAACTCACCGCCCTATTGTGTTTAAGTATCTTTCGAGCTTAACTGACCTCTAACCCCCAAGGCAGGGGTTGAGTATTTTGCCTTCCTACACAGGGTAGAAAAGGTTTATTCTATGATAAATACAACAATAAAATATATTTTTTGCGATTTGTTTAGTTTTTGGTATCTATTACATCTTAGTATCAAAGCTAGGGATGGGTATCGAGAACCGGTACTAAGTCAGTACCGGTACCTGATTGGACGGTATTGGTATACCGTTAAGCCGCTGGACAAACGGTGCTGCTATCGGTATATAAATTACGCTACTTCCTTAGTTTAAACAATTCTGGTTGGTTGGGAACCCTCATCCCGTGTGACGTATCCGGCTTGAATACACCACTGATTGGCCACTGTGAATGCCACTCGTCCTCTCTCCTAACAGCGCTCTTATTATTGTGAGACTCCCGGGGGCAGACCATAGGGGCAGACGCAACATCTTGCTAGAAACAGCGTCTCAAGGCTTCTTAACATTTAACAACCTATTAGTGATGCATACCCGCTCAACGGGAAACACTCAGCTAACAGACGATATTAACCATTTTACCTACACGGAACAGAAGTCCAACACCAAGAGTCTAAAACAACACTTAGCAAAATGGGCTAACGGGGCTAACGGCTACTTTAGCACATAACTGGCAAAAGCGATATTTTCTACGTCATATCACATGAAAGCCGATTCCATTGGTGTAAAGGCCCTGACACACCAGGCCGAAATCGGCCGTTTTCGTTAGTCGGACGACGAAGCGTGCCCTGTCGCAGGGCGAACACGGCGACGCAACAGTCGGCGAGTTCTCTGGTGACTGCTTGGTGTGTCAGGGCCTTAAGTCTCATCACTGTACGACCAAAACTCACTGAACTAGCAGCCAGGAAAGAGCAAGAAAACATCTTCACTTTACGTAGCCATGATGATAGTTATGTCTTACCTTTGCTGTTTTGTGATCAAAAGTTGTGTTTAAGGGCATAAAAACAGTTACTCCAATGTCTCTGTGTAACTTTAAAATGATTACCGAGTGATACTCCATCATTACAATTATAAATAATAAACGCAATAATGGTTAGCCGACCGGAGCTTCCGGTTTAGGAGGTGCGCACGCAGCGTCTCGTTTTAACTGAATAATGGTCATGTTTACATGGATTTATGAACTGCCCCTAATTACCGCCCCCCTTCCTGAGACACACTGTCAAACACACTCATACCTGCTTGGTATGACATTGAAAAAGTTACATTAAATAATAAATACAAATAAATTACAATAAAATGACTTGTTTAATCTTCACATCTTGTAATCATGTCTATAATTATGAGCACCAAATTATTGAAAAGTATAAAAAAATACCGGTATCGATAAGCAGTATCGGTATCGATAGAATCCTAACGATACCCATCCCTAATCAAAGCTCTTCAAGTATTTGCATATTTTTTTTTATATAACATATTCTTCAGTTTTGGAGTAATCTTAAACTGCCATGGATACCAAGTCCTAATTTTATGTAATATAATCCTCTGAAAGTGAAAAGAAAACCCAGCCAAATAAAAGCATTATTTTCAAGTAATATGAAAAAGAATGAGTAGCCTGTGGTCTGACTTCTATGTTAAAATGTGCAATCATGTGTAGGGAAACTGCAAAAGAGCATAAGATACAATGTCAACATAATTATCCATCATCAAATCCTTTTGTACAAGAATGAATGATTGATGCTAATTTTGTGACTACTAAATCTTAATTTGGGTAAAACAATTGCAAAAGGTATTCAACCTCTTGAGTTATCAAAAGTATAATCTTCAAATTGTGTTAGGGTTGGGCGCTATAGAGGAAATGAAATATCAGCACATTGATTCAAGAATGCACTGTTGGGCAAAATGACTAAGTGGGAAAAGGCAAAGAATAGAAGAGTCAAGTTCAGAAATTCATATTTTTTACGGCAATGCTGCTTTTAAAACCAGGAAATGAAACTCGTAAATTATATTATATTACGATTGAGGATTTCTAAAAGTTATGAATATATCTAGTTTCATACTAGGATAGTGATATATTGCACAGCCCTAGATTCTGTAATTGGAGATGTTCATAACACCTTTTCAAATGGGAACACTGCTATTTTCCTGCCTATTGTTCTTTGCAAGAGGGCTGAATCTATTTTGTTTCAAGGGGACTGTGGGAACCAGCAACTTTCAAATCCTGCCACAAACTCTTGATTGGACCGAGGTATAATATAACCACTCCAGGACATTTTTAGTTTTAAGCCTTTCCTTTATGAATTTGTGCTGGAAAAATAAATCCCCTAAGTCACAGTTCTCTAAAAAGACAGCAGGGACCTTTACTATTGCATTCATATCAAGGTGTCTGCCTTCACACACAGCTTCCCCACAGCCTGGCAGGCCACCAGCAGGTGCCATGCTGATGTGCAGGGCACGACTCAAGCACAATGCTCAAAAAGCCACACTTTTCATGATCACTTTATAGATCCTTTGAAAAATTCGGAAGATCGACCACCATTTCTTGCAGACACCAAGTATAACAAAGATATTGTAAAAAATGTTTTTGCCAGAAGTAGCTTTTTCTTTAAAGTATTAAAGCACCCATCAATATTGCACTCGTCTAAACCTGTCTCTAAGAGCCGAGTTAGCGTCTTCTGCTAGTACTCTCCAAACACGAAAAAAGTATTTTGTGGGAATATTCACAGCTGTGCCATATACATTTCCATTTCTTACTGATCCTAAAAGGAAAAAAAGGCTATTTGGGGATATTTATTTGTTATTTTAAATCACTTGAAATTGTTTATTTGATATCTTTAGTAATATTTCTGTTTTGGATAACAGTGATTATATTAGGCCTGTCAAGTGTACATTGTCAGGTTTACGTCAAAGCCACTAGATGGCACAGAGGCTTCCGTGGCGATTATTACGCTTTCCATATTCAAATAGTTGTACTCGTACGGCTTCTATTAGTTATCTTATGTTTAATTAATGGTGTTAAATAAGTGTGCATATTTTGTTCACTACATGTCAAAATATTGCTCGGTCAATCTTTTTGCTCATGCTTGTCAGCTACTTGTAATTGTCAATAAATCACTCATTGGCCCGGAGCTATTTAAAAAGCACTTGCCACTCTAGGGTTGAACAATATTTACTATTGCTCAATATTGTCAATCAGCACAGACTTAGTCATACTATTTATACAGTGGCATTCCTTTAATATGTCTGGTTGTAGCCAATGGGACATTTTGTAAACCAAGCAGGAATTATTTACTGACTATTTTTTATAAATGTTTCATCAATGTAATTATTTTTGATATTCAATTTGCTTGATTAACTAAATAGATACATTCAACAAGAGTGCAGACTTTGCGACTGATTGAACCAGCAAATGTTAAAAAAAGAACAAAAAAGTGTTCACACATTTGAACGTGCTGCCACTCTATTGCACTTCCTGTGGTGTGCAGGGTCATTATTAGCCTCTCAGCTGGGAGCGTGCCAGTGGCACAGTTCTAGTGCTGATTCAAGGGGTGAATCGTAAAATCAATTTTCTGCTGATATTGAGTAGTCCCATTTGTTCACCAAAAAACAAAATGGTGAGACCATTAGTGTATGGGACCATTATAAATCCCCAGCATAATGTTGACTAGGTGGTCTGGATCTGATGGTTTTAATATAGCGGCTTTACATTACTTTCGAGGGAATGAAAAAACTATTTGTTTGTCATTAAAATCATCCAGATAAAGCAATAAACACAGCATTTTTAAAAGCACCACACCAGTTAAAATCATGGTTCAGTGAAAACTTGTTTTACAACAAATGTTTAAAATGAACTGTGCTAAATGGCTCTATTTTCTAGAAATATTAATATAACAATCATTAAGACCCATTTAAGCTCAAATGCTAAACACTTGATAATTTGCTCACTTATCATGACAGAAATAATAATAAACCAAATGCATGGATATTAACTTTAGCCGAGAAAGGCGAGGCAAATTCAGCAGCACCTTTCCAATACACATTATTTTATGAGGTATTGGTGCAAAATGGTTCACTTGCTGCAGCAAAAATCAAACCAACATGTTAAGTGTGTCGTTAAAAGTTACAATATGCATGACAACATGATAGTCAAACAACCAGACAACATGGCGTTTTATTCTGTATGGAGTCATGAAAACACTGTAATGATAAATAATAATGGAAAGCATGTAGGACGCTTTAAAGATTAACAGGGCGCAATTTGAATCACTTGACCTGTTCATGTTCTCTAGTCTTTTGGCAGTCTCAGGTTAACTTACTTAATTCCTATAAAAAAATGTCAGTGTACATGATTCTATATGTTGTCATTGATTTAAAAGTCTCCCAATAGTATAATGAAAGTGACAGAAATAAGCAAAGTGTTAATACCAGGGAAACAGGTTATTCAACAGTGTTGAATAGGAAGTGAATCTTCAGCATGCTTCAGGCTGCATGTGACATTCATGCTGTGCTCTCATTTACACCACCGTGATTTACTACACATCATGGTATACTATAATAGTAAAACACCTTATAACATTTATCATATACAATCATAATTCAACAAAGTATGTTAATGTGACATTGACTATATATATATATTTATTAATAGAGTACCATTAATAATATAATTATACGTTATCCTAGTGTACACTGTATACATACACTACTGCTGCTATACATCACATCACCGTCGTTTGATCATGTTATTCGTCCAAAAATTCATTTTATAGCTTCCAACTTTTATTCTATTCCTAATGTAGTATTATTTCACTAATATGTTAAATTTCTGCTACAGTCCATTTTGTAATTATTTCTCCATTGAATTGCCTTTACACCCGTATTTCCCCGCTGTGGATCAATAAAGATCCATCCTTTAGTATGCGTTAGAGGCTAATCCGTTTCATTTTAGCATCCTGAAGTTAGCATTTAGCATCGTGTATAATGCCGCGTATTGCAGTCAGAAGTAATGAAGGGTTAGTTGACAGACGCATCAATCCGCACAACGGTTAGAATTTATCCAAATTAGTCTCTTTGGTGAGCTAAAATCATCTGGCACGACACCAACATTATTCTCTGAATTACCACTGATGTTATACAGCCATCTAACGTGAGCTAACGGCTAAGGTTAACAGGCTTATGCGCAACGAAAAAAATGGGGTTCACCATCTTTAATAGACCCGAGATACACTGAACAGCCTAAAAACCAACCCCCCGGTTAACATTTTCCCAATAAGCGTTTAAAGCCCTCAAGGGGGTGGATATTCTGGTTTGTAATAGCGTTTAGTCGGCCTGCCAACAGCTACGCCCTCCTTGTCGCATTCCCCTGCGGAATTTTAAGATGGAGAGATAGATTACCGCTAGCTGGCAACTAGCATGCTAACGGAACGTCACAGTACGGCCGCTGGCTTGAATCGTTAGCTTAGCTGACCCCGTTACATTATGTGCCGACGCCAAGATATTGGCTTAAATAGCTGGATGGTTAAATACGGCATGTTCTACGTCGTCACCGCTTTAATCTGTCGGCAAAATGATATCGAGCGAATTTAAAATGGTAGCCGCATTTGAGGGGGAAACTCCCGGGAAATAGGGAGGGTGTGTTAGCTTCACTACGCCATAACGGACCCGAGCTAGAGCCATCGTTATTAATCACGCTGCTGTTCGAATAACGGGACCCGATGCGTCGATTCCCCGGGGTATAGACACATTACATTACAAGACTCTTGTTAAACATCGTGTTCTGAACTCGCTGTACTTTAGCATTTTAAGCTAAAAATGCTTCTTTCACGACGGCCTGGACACGGCCGCCTCTAAGCTGTCAAAATGGCCAAACTTGGGTGCCGCTTGCTTCTCCCTCCCTACACGGTCACCGCGCACCATCATGCATGGCATCGACCGGAGTCTGGGCCTTTACACATCTACAATTCCCGTCACATTATGCAACACAAAGAGCTCTGGCGGCGCAACGCCAGGTGTTCTGTGTGTTATTTCTCGCTATTTTATCCAGTGGTCTCGGCCTAAATCCTCGCACCCAGCCCCTAACCACAATAGGTACCTTACGCCGCAGAGGCAGGGGAATGGGGCCACCGCTGGGTCTGCTGCTCCCCTCTAAAAGAGTGTCGTTACCCTGTACACAAAACAATAATCGAGTGATATGCAAGTGAACTCACATTTCGAGCGTGCAAGGAATCCCGATTTTATTCTCTAAACGATGGGAGTTTATCAAGCCGTCCTCCGCTCGCTGCTCAGGGTATTCAGGGCAGTACCACTTCCGCCTGCTCTGACACTTCCGCTTCCTCTAAACTCCACCCCTCCCCCCGCCAGTATCCATGGCAACCGAGCCAGGGGGTTTCCTGAGCATCTTTCAAGGGGCTTTGACGTCAGGAGGACCATGGCAACCGCTACAGGATGACGTGCGCCCCGGTCTCCGTGGCAACTGTCTCCATGAGGCCCGCTGCTGCTGTCGTATCTGAGTTCACCATCGAGTCAGCTGACACAGCCTTGTGTGGGTTACACTGATTTCATTTTTCTTCATATATTCCAACAAGCAGGTATTTTTCTCCCACTGCACCACCTACACAACCACTGCAAACCCTGCAACACCATCAACCATCCTACATTCATCTTTACATTTCTATTTGTGATTTCTACATGGTTGTAAGGTTCATTTATTCACCCTTTACAATAATGGTTGCACAATTATACGTAATTGGTTGCCCCTTCAAGCTACAAGCCTGTAAAACATATAGCCTATACAAATATTACAATTGTAATAGCCATCATGCAAAGACTTTGCTTTGACTCATTATTCTGAACTACACATTGATTGCACAATTTATGGCTGTGTTATATTGACACCATAATTGTTTAGATTGAGCCCACATCAGCCTTGCTTTCATTCTTGCATTGCTGCCTGCAACCGTGAATGATTCCCCAGGAAAATGAAGGCTCTATTTAATAATTCAAATCCTATTTCTTCATTCGGAAAAATGTGGGAATTTTACAAGGTTCATTCATCTATCAAGGATTCAAGGAGTCAAGGCTTGTATTGTCATGTGCACAGTAGAGTGTAGATATGCCAATTAAAAACTTAAGTCCCACGCTCCTCCAACAGTGCAACAACATGAATCATTTTACAACTCAGGTTTGCACAATGAAATGTAATGGGTAGCCTATTCACGCTTCATGTATATCAAACATATAGTCTAATATTTAAATGATCATACCCATATCATAATTAAAAGCAATACAAATATAAAAAGACAGCTTGTTTTTTCTTTAACTTATCTTTATAATGATGATTGCACAACATCCTTTCACACTACCCCATCATAAAACATATAGCCTGTACAAATATGTAGCCATATCAGAATTAATGATGTCACAAATCATGTGTTGGGTAGACATCATATAAATGCTTTTTGTTTAGGGTCTCGTCCCTTGTTCTACAGCATTGGATAGCTTTTTTGGATGGCCATTTTACATATTTCAATTCTGTCTTATGACTGTAGTTGTATGATGCTGATTGCACCATGTAGGGGTGATCAAATAATCACATCATTATTGTTTATTGTTATTAGCATTCTAGTGGTTCAATGTCTCTCTGTCGTGGTTTGTTGTTTCTTTTTATACACGTTGTATGTCTCAATTATGAGTTTCGTGTGTCTTTGTAGTCTTTTTGTTCGTTTTTTGGTTGTTTTTCCGTATTTTTGGTCATTTGGTGTGTCCTATTAGTATTTATTATATTAGGATATATTCATTTAAGAAGGGACAATGCACATTCATAATAATGAAGACATCCCATTATGTCACAGTGCCAGATTTAACCATAAAGACTCATTTCCATCTGCAGTCCCTGGCAGGATTTTGTCATCAAAAGAAAACATACAAGATATGTAAGCACAATTAAAACACATAAGCACATTTGAAACACAATTACAGCACCTATTATATGGTTTTTCATCAATATATTATAGGTCTCAGATATATACAAAACATATCTCTGAAGTGTTTGTCTCCAAATACCAAACAGATCATTGCAGCATCCCATAATCCCCTCTGTTTCAGCCCTGTTTCAAAAGTGCTGATTCTCTATCTGTTACTTTAGATGAAAATAAGGAGCCACTCCCCACGCCCCTCTGAGAGATATTCGGTTAAAAAGAACACAATAGGCGCGTTCACACCGGAGTACTTTTACCCGTACTTTTCCCGTTTAGTTCCGATAGTGCCTGGAATCTTGCGTTCACACCAAAAAGAGTACTTAGTTCCGAGAACTTTTACCCCCATTTTTAGTGCCTGCTAGAGAGGTGGTACTGGGAGAAAAAAGTACCAATTTCGATTGGCTGGGCGAATTGCAAACCACGCCCCGTAAAACTCTGAAAACTTTTTTGAAGCCGCCATTGTATTTGCTGGCTTTAGCATTATTAGCATTAGCAGGGACTGGCTTCAGTAGAAGCACCTGGGAGTCCCAGCAGCTTCTACTGAAGCCAGTTACGTCATCTTCCCTCAGGGACTTATTCCGGTGTGAACGCGATCTGTACTTATGCGGCTTTCACACCAGCGCTTTTCCCTTTCTAGCTCCTAGCGAGAGCTTTTCTGGTTCAGCTCCGGTTTCCCTTTTCAGCTCCCGCTCTGTTCACACCGCCCAGAGCTGCCGAGAGATTTTCTCCCACAACAACAACGGGCCGGGGACTGCGTCGGGTCGACGATCGTGTTGCTTTTAATCATACGAAGCCAGATTAAATTAAATAACGACTTCTCCAACCTTATACTTTTCTCCAGAGTGCCGTGGTTCATTGTTTATTAATGTGTTTCAGCGGCATTTACTGACCGCTACAGTGCTGGCTGCTCTTCCACGGGAGTTTATTCTCCCGTTAGCTCACACGGCTCTAAAGTATTCACTGTCTGACTGTCACACAAGCAGCTGATACATATCCCCAGTTCCCCTTAAGTGAATGTGTGTCAGTCTGAATTGACGCTGTTTGGCATCACAACGCTGTTATGAAAGTTTCTCTGGTATAACATGGGTGATGTTAGCATAGCAACCGAAGCTAAACTGACTACTTGCTAAGCCGTTTTCTACAGGCACATTTTACCGGCGTATTTTTCATTATGATTCTACTTGTGATAGTCGGACATGACAACCTGTGCAGCCCATGTATTGATTCCATCCGATAGCTGCTATAATAACAAACAAAACGTCTGCCTGCTCTCCACAATGATCAATAACAGCGAACGGATGGTCAAAGTAAGGTTTCCTGCACGCCTCGACGTAAGCGACGCCGCGTCATAGCTCCAAAGCTCTTGCCTCTGGACCGACAACTTTTTGGAGCTGGAAGTGAACCGCATTCCGGAGCTATGACGCGCCGCCGCTGCGGTGTGAACAGGGAAAACCGGCGCTTTTCAGGCTCTAGCTCCCAGCAGGAGCTGGAAAAGCGCCGGTGTGAAAGGGGCATCAGTTCCATGGGGTACTAAGTGCTGGGCACTAAGTACGGCAAAGTACTTGGTGTGAAAGCGGCTAATGGTGCTCTAGGAGGAGATTCAGGTGATAAGGTGTGTGGGGGGGGGGGGGGTTACCTTGGTTGCTAATGGTTACACAAGCCAAAAAATCTTTATGACATCATAAAGTGGCCAAAATCGGATCAGCTCATTTTCAGACAGGTTTTTATATAAATGGATCAGGACAAAAAGAGAGAGAATCTTTGTTCCTGAAACTTTCAGAATGTCTGCATGTTTATGTATAAAAGACATGAAAAATTGGATTTTGCATAATAAGTGACCTTTAAAGCACATATACACAATTAAAAGCACATCAATACATGCATAAATACATAAAAGCAAGTACAGCTCTGGAAGACCACTCCAAATTGTGCTTGAATCTCAAATTCTACATGTATGGCAGCCGTTCCATTCCAGTGTCTGATTAATTCAACACAGACAAATGTTGTCAGTAGTTTATAGAATACAATTTAAAAAATGTCATTTTACTCAAACACACATACCTATAAATAGGAGAACCAGAGATCCTGATAATGCTGCAGTGGTCTCTTCATTTTTTCTAGAGCTTTATACATAAGCACAGATACAAGCTTATTGTGTGTTTTTGGGGTCATTTTAGCATCTTTTTGTGGTCGTTTTAAGTGTCCTTGTAGCTGTTTAGTGTCTCTATGTTGTGCTATATAAATATAGTAAATAAGTTGCGAGACCAAGGTCTTTGTGAAGTATACCTGTTGGTACGGAAGGCAATCATTTTGAGCTCAAATTGTCTACCTGCTGGTGCTGCCAGATGTGAAGTCTTAAGGATTCATTGGAGATCATCAGTGTATGCACAATTCCATTTACCATAACATGTATCAGTGTGATTACGTAATGCCTGAAATTGGGTGACTTTAAAAAATAAAATAAGAAAGATCAAATTATAACAATAATCAAAGAGGTTAAACTGAAGGAGTTAGACAATTAGAATGATTTTTGCCAATTTGTAAATGATCATAAATTAGTATTTTTTTTGTGTTTCTATTCTCATGGATGGTTTACTAAAATGGCCTATAACAGGGAAAGACCAGAAGCCTCTGTTTGAGTAAGACCACTCCACTACAAAGAGCCATAATATTACTACAAAGCCATGTGAAACGATGATGAAAACATGAGACACACAAAAGACTACAAAAAGATAAAAGGTAACTGCGAATAAATGCAACATGACAACCAAGACAAAAAAAAGGTGACTTAAAGACTGCAGAGAGAACCAACATGAAGACAAATTGATGCAAGATAACTAAGAAACACAAAAATTTATTTAAATCATGCAAATAACTACAAAGAGAGCATCATGACTACAGACCCCAGACAAGATCAAACACAACTAAAAAGAGGCGTAAAAAAGACTCAAAGGAGATGCTAAACAGCGACATTTAGACGCAAAAAGATGATGATTAGACTCAAAAGGACTAAACAGACACACAAAAAGACTGAACAGCCAACCAAAATGACTACAAAAAAGGCAAAAAGATATGCATAGCAGTTCTCCCACAGTTCACGTATTTGTTTGACCTTCTTTGTAACACCTCTCACAATAAAGAGGTACCATTTTGGAATAACACTTCTATAAATCCTAGGTTTCATTTTAAGAAGGTGGCAGTTAAAATATGTTTTGCTTTGTTCACCCTGCTCTTGTTCAAACATGGTATGTATGTTAATTTATTAAAGATTGTTTTTTGACTTTATGTGTAAAAATGTGTCACAGGTCACTGACTCCCATGACCCTGAACATCATGAGGAAAAGATACATTTAAACATTCAAAGGCTTTATTGTCACTAAGCACA